TCACTGTCGTGTTGATAATCTTGCTGTCAGGAAGAGTGTAGGCGACGCATAGGAGCTAGAGCTCGGGGTATGAAAGGTAAGGGCGTTGGAGATGCGCCGACAGATGGTAAAGAGTACTAGGTCAGAATGAGGAAAGCTGAGAGAGTTGAATATTGAATGTTGATCTAACAAGGCTCGCTGCAATGAGATAAGATTAGATTCACGTCCATCATTGTTCGTAGGGCGCCTCACAATCAAGACTCTAAAGCAACTCTAAATCTTCCCCTTCCTTTCTGAATGGATCTCCTTGACATTTGCACCATCTTTACCTTGCGCTCTTGAGCTTGAGGTGTCATCATGTCCATATCACTGTCATCTTTCGTTCTTCCCTCAATTTCCTCCATCCTCCTTTTGATCTAGCTCGTTCCAGAGATAGACATCACGTTTGCGGCGTGGTCCAACCTTTGGTCCCCTTCCTGCAACCAGCAAGACGCCGTTCTCAACTTGTGGCCACCAGGCTGGAAAGGGTCGTGACCACAATTCAACTTCTCGAATTCATCCTGGTTCCTTCAAATTCATAATTCGCCCACATGAGAAAAATAATGGATGCTTCGAATTCGATAGCCCTTTGAATGTGATCACTCCGCGGATCCGTCTGCCCAGTTCCCGATGGAAAACTGATGCTCTAATCCACCTTGGACAGATGAGCATAGTCCGACATCAGAATCGAGGACACAGGGGCGCTCCTCATTGCGATGATCCGCAAGGCATGCCGTGAATTTCTGTCTTTCGATTTTGTCCTGCATGACCTGCTCGGATCCACACCGCGTTTCACGATGCAAGGACTACACAAACACGACACAAGCATTGTTCAAGATCATATAAAAAGCACCTCGTCCACACTCTTCATTCTCAGTCGAACGCTTCAGCGCGTTCAGTAACCCAGCTACCACAATCGATATGCGGCAATTCAAGCTCCGAGTCCTCGCTTCTACCTTGGCGCTTGCCACCATCTTTGTTGCCGCAGCATCGATCCCCGTGAGCGAGTGCCACGCTAAACTTCTGTGCTGCAACCGGATCGCTGAGGATGCAGATCCCGGCATGCTCACTGGTTTCCAGTGCAGACTCCTCACCGCCGCAGACACCTCTTGGTAAGGTTCATTCCACTCGTTCTCAGGAATAATTTTAAGTCATTACCTTTCTCTAGCACTTCGAACATCATCTGCTGCAACGGCGACTTCGAGGTGTTCGGCGGTAAGTGTTCAAGCTCCCGCCGTAGTTGTTTTCTCTGTCTCTTTGATCCTAACCCCACTTTCGTAGATATCCCAGCCGCATATAGCTGTGTCCAGGCCGAGCAGAAACTACAGTAGACTTGCCGACCTATTGGATACATCAACGTTATGCCTCAACTTTCAAGCATCGCGACAGTTCGGGAGGTCGTTCCTAGCTTTCATGTATTCTCGTCAATCAGAGGCACTATTACGATGCTCCATTTATGTAACGTGACTTTTGCAAAATGATTCTATGCCCTTTGGATAACCGATTGGATACGTCTACAGAGGGATACTCTGGAGACAGGATAACGGCAAGCAATTCCACCAGTGTAATTCTACACGGTGAAGTTCTACAAATTCATTCTCTGATGGCTATTTTACGACTGTGTTTGTTGCTCTTTGAACAGTGCGGCGGAGCACGCATCTAGGTCCGCTCTCGTTGGCATCGTGCGGAGGTTTGTTCCTGTAGACCCCGATTAGGGAATCTGTATACCAGAAATGGACCTTTGGTTGACCATGTTGACATCTCAAAAGCAGAAAGGAAATAGGAATTAGATGGATTGTATGCGTAAAGATACACGTACCTGCGCGGTTCGAGATGGACATGAGAGGCGACGGAGCACGATACAAAAGAAGACGGTGAGGGGATACGCGGCGATGTCGGATAACTGCGAATTGGTCTTGTTAATCCAGCACGAAAAACGAAGACGATAGAGAGGAACGTACTCAGGCACAAGTTAAACCCAAAACCCCAATAATGTACGGTACAACACTTGTCCCATCCTCGCCAACGCAGCCTCCACCCTTCTCAACGCATTTCCTCCTCCCCCCTCGATGTAGCTCTACGCTCATACCAACAGCCCCATAGCCTGCGTAGCGAAACTCCCCCGTCACACCCCAGACACTCGTGAACGCACGGTAGGGCCATACGAGGTGGTAACGGCGACGAGGACGAAGAGTCAGGCAGCGGCGGCCCATAGAGCGCCAGATTTTGCGATTCCGAGTCTTCGGCGTTTGAGCTTTGGAAGGGAAGTCAGGAAGCTCGATATCGGAAGAGAGGCAATAAAATGAGAAAAAGGAAAGGGAGGAACTCACTCGTACAGCTGAAACTCGCTCGGCATGACGAGTACATCGGCAATTCCTGATTGCGTTATGGGTGCTATACGAAGGTACGTAGCACTCTGTAAATTGGGAAGCATCCCGATAGACAAGAAGATGCATTACAGCGCTATAGCGCGTTACGTAGCGCTACGTAACGCGCCATAGCACACTATAACGCTGAAATCGAGGTCATTTTGACCCTCAAAATCAGGATTTGCTGATGTAGTACACCAGCAGCGTCCCAGGCCATCTCGCTCGTCGGAGGTAGATATGTATATGCGTGTTTATTTGCTGATTGGACGTGCGGTCTTCGCCTCTCTCTCGGGGGAATTCTATTCGCGAACCCCATATCTGCGCGAACCCCTCATGAACCCCCACGTTACGGGCACTTTCCGGAGAGCTTGCGGGATGACAAATAATGTCACGTTTATGACGCCCGGCCCGGATGCCCAAGTAAAGATGTCAACATGGACGCCATGAGCGACCGTTCAACACTCTTGAGGGCCACTCATACCATCTCACATTACAATCTATTTCATTACATACAGCACTAAAGTCTAATAAGGATTTAAAAGGAACAGCTTCCAAAAAAGGAGGGAATTCGAGAGCTTTAAACAGTGCCTGTAGAGCTCATGAGTTATGCTACGCCAAAGCGAGGCTGCCCTGCTCGCGATAGGTCTCTGCTCGATTTGCTTGTGACGAAGGAAACAGATACGTAAGTCAGACACTGGTTCGGCTCCTAACTCGGGGCTCTGGTGAACACCGCAGTGGTTGGGCGCCTCATCCGTTATTTTAGATCCATAAAGAAATTCAGAGTCCAGACGAGTGAGCTGGTGACTTATTTTGACAGATTTACGGGGTGAGCTGGCCCGATTTACGCTGGATTTACAAGATTTACAGCGAGCCGGCTCAATTTACGTGGCCCGATTTACAGGCTGATGAGCCAGCGCTTAGCCGTTGCCTGTCGCCTGCCCTTTGATTCCCTGCTCGGCTGCTTGCAACTCTGATGGCGGCACTCTAATCCTGCCATTTCTCGGCCGTCAAGCTAAATCTCGAGGCATGCAAGCGCGCACAGATGTCTCCTCGAGACATTTGGCATTTGTTTTTGTGTACACCATCTCCGTGGTCCTATTTTACTAATTTCCACTGTCTAGAATCCCTTCAAACACATCACCGTGCCCTCGCCGCCACCCCCAGACTCTCCTCGAGCATTCATCCAGGGTCGATTTGACCGCCGTGATGCCTTCTCGCATTTCCCTCGAACCGACCTTTGGCGCTCCGGACGTCTGGTGCCCTGCCGACCACGATTTACCGGCACCGTAAATCCAACGTAAATCGAGTCAAATAACCGTACTTATGGAAAGCATAGTGGGAACTTCCGCAAGGCATGTCCCTCCTCAGGCCTCAGGGCTAGGTTAGTGCTCCTATTTCCATCTCATCTAAGCTGCGTAAAGAGTCATGATGTCTGGAGGAACATTCTGTCCGCAAATCAAACAGGAGTCAGAATATACGTTACACAACACGAGAATACAATCCTGAACGGCGTACGGAACATCCTACAAGACGACATCCAGGCTTCACGCGGATTGTCGTTCCAAACTCGACAAAATAAAGCCACTGTGTAATGAAGTGATCGTCATGTAACGGGCAATAGCTGACAAACAGAGAAATCTTCAGTCGGGCTCTCCTTCACCGGCCCTACCTGTCGGCTTCCTTGGGAGCTGCTGAGGCGAATATTCCGCTCTACGGCGAGCTCAAGTTCGTGTCAACTCGAAGACACTCACCGTATTATTTACCCCGTTGCTTCCGTCTCATTTCTTTAAATAAAAGCATAACCAACTAATTCTACCAATCTCCTGCTCTCCTATCTCGGAGCTATCTGTTTCTAATTCGGCCTCGAGATGAGATGGAAGCGATAAGCAAGTTCTCAATCTGGAAATGTTTTCCATATCCGGAATTCTTGGCCCCTCAGTAGCGTGTTCGTCACAGGCGACAACCAAAAGTACTATCTGAGAGGTGCAAGCTGCAGTTGCTGCCAGTATTTCTGCTCCGGGGCCCATAGATTACCCATCCCGAATTCGGTTCACGTAGCTGAGGCGACTCGGAGCACGCGCCAACTAAGCGTGGCTCCACAGTATGTAGCTTCATCTAGAATATTCGAGCTCTCTACGCCCTTGCGCTCACGGTGGCTGAATAGCAATGGATCTGTACACTTACGTCCATTTCGGGGAGTCAACAACGGGAGAGACATCCACGCCACTATCTTTATTGTCAAGCTTCGGCGATGTCTCGAAAAGACAATAAATTGCGCTTTGCATTCTCTGACGTGGCCAACTTCTTGACATTGTTCTCCCTGGCTATTCGAAATTGTGGCCCTGAGCTTGGACCGGCTCCTGTTTCAGTTATGACGCTGCTGGGCCACTTGCGGCCCTCCTGTGGGGTAATTAAGGCCTGGTTCGTATCGTGCATTCTCCAGGCTCCCTTTCTTCCTCTCTCCGAATGTCCCCTGAATATCTCAGCTCTTCCTTGTGACTTCTCTGTCTTCTTCGCCCCCCCACACATACACTCGTGAATTCACGTACTTACACGAGCCTGGTGCGACTAGATGCGTTCTGATGGACTAGCGGATACTGTGCCCAAATAATGGGCGCTGGATCGCGGTCCGCCATCACAGCAATCTCAGAAGCGCCAGACTCATCGTGGCCGTGATTTGTTGCGAGTGCGCCTCCTATAGTCCTATAGAATAGCCTTGATGAATCTCCGCGTTCTGTTACGATATTCTTCTCTCCATTATTGCTACAAGATTTGATCTTCCTATGCTTTGACTACCTCGCAGCATTAAATTTGTAACAGGTATTGTGAATACTTCTTTCATGAGCCTCAGAGGCCTATACGAACCGTTTAATCGCTATCATAGATACTAGAGGGATACCCGTGCGTTGCACGGGGCCGGGGTTTCAAACTCCCTGTCTCCTTGTCTCCTGTTTCGAATATTTTTGTTCTTATTTGCTTTTCCTGGAGGGCTTACTTATTTATTTACTCCCCCAGCCCGTTCGGCGAGAGACTTCTTCTTAGACTTGTTTTTCTTTATAGTATGAAAGCCCCGTATTTCATGTTTTTGTGCAATAACATTCAGGTCTCGTCTCTTTTTGCTCACTCGGGGCCCTCGTCTCTCATGCTCGTCTCTTGTCGCCTTCCTCTCCTGTCACTCGTCCCATTTCAACCATTGTTCAGGGCCGTCGTTGCCCCATCTCTCGATCCCGCCATCGTCTCGAGATACATTCCCGGGCTTAGCCCTACCATCCTCCGTTTTCGGGTCTTTACAGACCAAATGTTGGTCTACGTCGCGGCCACCTACTCTGTTCTTTCCTAGAGAACTCACTTCCTCGCTCCTCTGTTTCTGAATCGTGCGAGCCATGGTTAGAGCCGCATAATTGCGGAATCCATCCCCACCCGTCAGCAGGCGGTGATTCGGATGTGTCCTCATTCATTCTTTCCCTCTACACGACCACCCATAGGCACATCAATGCCCGTGCATATGCAGTGGCGGAACGCCGGAAATCTCGAGAACTGCGGCCCGCTACCCACTGCGGGAAGCCAGGGCATTTTTAAAAACTACGCCGGGATGCAGTTAATTCTCATAGCCCGCATAAATGTTTGAAATAACCACCTGCATGGCAATTTATAAAACTACACCCGGTGGTTTTATGCCCTGCCGGAGGAAAGTGAAAATAACCGCCAAAAGGACTCTTTTGGCGGTTAATACAACTAAGCTCTGGCGGTTTTTCTACCTCGACTGAGCTAGGTTTTATTTACGTCGTTTCTGGGTGTATGATTTTCTGCCAACATTAATAGTAAATTTCATTGCCCGAGGTAATTACATAGCTTGTGCTAGGTCTTGCGCCTCATACCTGCATCAACCCTTACCCTCCCTATCTTCTCCGGCCGTCGATCTCACAGAGGCGCGGTCTCTCATGTCGGATCTGCGTTGATCGTGCGTCGGCCTCATGAGATCGTTACAGTGCTAATGGTGTACTGTATTCTGGCAGATGCACTAAGTGGGGACCTTTCGTGCATAGAGATGACTCACCATATCTTTGTGCCCCGGCTTTGGGCACTGTGGGAGAACAGCGGGGGTGGGCTGCGGGAGAAACACGGTGATAAATCATTTATCTCCTGCTTAAGAATATAGGCGCACCGAAATGTCGAGCACGAGCATTATCATGATGCAAGAGGGGCATCAGAACTGTCTGGATGCATGTACGACCCAGACAACGCCATCTCACCTTTGCTATCCACATCTAGGCCATCCAGCCATGCTATCGTTGGCGAACAACACCTTCCTAATGAGTGTCAGGCATGGTCAGACAATGATGACCAGGGTTTCGAGGAGGGTAGTGCAACTGTTGGGAACTTGATGAATGGCAGCGAGCTACACACGGCTGTGCGTTACGTAGACGAAGAAGAGGAAGGTGATGCTATGTGAGATACTGACGAGGAAAAACAGAGAATTTAAACAGTATTCACATGACTAAACGACTAACATACCTGTGGAATCCGCGTACTGCGCTAGCAAAGCTCAAATATAGCCATATATTGAGGTTGAATTCGGAAATAAAAATAGTGAGCTCTCGTCAACAGACGTGCTTACCCTTTCGGCAACAGTAACACGTACAACTATTTAAGCTCAGTGGTGGCAGATTCGGGTGGTGAAGGGAGGCCGCAGCGAAGGCTGAACGTTGGGGTACCAAGCACCCTCATTTTGGACCTCGTCGTCGCCGTTGTGTCTATGTGTAAGTGTTAGAAGACTTCGGCCCCGAAGTCATGAATTGAAAGAGAGGGAGGTGTCTCGGTGGTACCGGTTGTGAAACTGGAGCAGAGGATGGGGCGGTATTCACCGGAGGCCAGAAAACGTGTGATGGCATTGAAAAGAAAAGCGAATGAGCATCATGGACTTACCTAGCTTCAGAAACGTCCACCTAAAACCTTGTGCCTCGACACCACACCATCCTGTTGCTTTCGGTTTTCATTAGCCTATGAGTCGAGGAATTTGAGCCAAGAATGCGATCCGAGTAAGATGACTTACATGTCGTGGTTGTCGCTGCCTTTTCATCTATGCCCGTCCACTCGCCCGCCTGCTCGTGCTCGTGCTGCTACCCTCTCATCCTTGTGGTCGAACGGCCGCTCCGGCTTGCCCGATGCCGTCGAGTTGGTCTCGTCCCCGCTGTTATGCTACCGCCCGCTGTCGTTTTCTTGCCCCCGCAGCCATGTTCTTCCGATACCCACTGTTGCGCCCCTCCCGTCGTGTTGTCGCCGCCAAGCCGAGAGACAGATGGTGAGAGGTGGGCGGACGCCAACCACCACCTCCATCCGAACGTTACGTGGCACCTGAGATGCCGAGGCTCCGAGAATGGCAGGCGTGGAGAGCGGGGCAGATGGCAAGCGCCGGCAGGTAGTCGCACGGAGGGGGACACCCACATCCCTGTTGAAGGGGAGGGGTGGGTGAAGGGTAAGGTGAGAGCGTGGGGCGAGAAGTGAGAAGCGAGGGCAAGAGAGCAGGGTTGGGCAAAGCGGAGGGAGGTTGGTGTGGGGAGTTCAGAGAGGGGGTGTTTGTGCCCGGTCCACATCCCTATTGAGGGGGAGGAGCGTGAAACGCGTAGAAAACGAATGTCGACGAACAGTCGACATTCGTGACCTAATTTCGAGATAAAACATGTATGAGTGTACGTATAGATGAATGTAGTATGTTACTTACCTTAGCCGCATGAAAAAGAGATGACACAGATTGCACCTTTGTAAACGATTGGGAGCTGCCTCCTGGCCGATAGGTGTCCGCAGTTGACGAGGAGCATAGATATGTGAAGTCGAATGGAAATGAGCACATACACTCAACAAAATCGGAACTCACGTTCCCAATTAACTGCGATCAGCCCATCGGAGTCCGGATCAGCCAGATCGGAACATGTAGTTCAGTTCTACGGGTGATCTAGTCAGATTTTCAGCAAACGGATGCCCATCTTGAGCCTCAGATGGGGGATCGGGACAGAGATGTGGTAGACATGGAGGTAGCAGATGGTGGTAGGAGGGAAGAAGCAACATGTCGGAGGCAGGAGTGACGACGGCGGCATCACGTGGTCGCCTTATGTTTGGCAGCAGCTTGTTTGTTCCTATAGGCAACCAAACAAAATGAAGAAAAATCCTTCATTTTGTTTGGTTGCCTATAGGAACAAACAAGCCGCTGCCAAACAATGTTGGGAGAAACCTGCAAGTCCGTTGAGTAAGTGACTTCAACATGAAGTTGTGCACGATCGATTGGCATGGTCATGAAAGGCCGCGGCCTGCGCGTGTATAAGTGTCACGACGTCATGATGATGGGGAATTTAACTCCCGATTGGCAGCTATTTCGCTATTTTTAGACGCATTTAATTTTACATTTCCTCAAACGGTTAAAGGAACCGCCATTCCTGGGCAGTTTCGGCCGATGCAGTTTTAAAAACCGCCAACGCTTCCCACAGTGTACCGATGAGCCAAGAAGGGACTACTTCACGCTGCTGATCCAGTTGAACAGCCCAAGCGACACGTCAAAATTAGAGAGGCATCAAGGTCAAACATGCGTAAATTGCAGCTCAATGAAATGGAAGAGCACAATATCGAAGAGAAAGGTAACAGTTGGCATACCTTGTTCGTTTCCGTGTTGAGCAGCTCGTTCCCACTCCCGCCGCGCACGTTGTGCAAGAGTTCGGTTTGATGGCTGAGGTGCCTTTGGCTCCTGCACTTGCTGGTCTAGACGAAAGGAGTGAGCATGGTTTTATTACCAATGAGGTGGGAGAACCATGTGAGCCCACCTTGGTGAATGCCCTCTCGTGCAGCTCTTTCGCGCTCTCGACGCGCACGCTGTGCAAGGGTTCGATTTGATGGAGGAGGTGCCCCAGCATTCGATGTGGGTGGGCAGGTTGGAATCTGATTGGTATCGATGAGAGAACGATGTAATGGAATACGAATGACATACCTTGAAGCTGACCCTGGGCAGCTCGCTCTCTCGCTCTGCGCGCCTTTTGAGCAAGGCTCCTCCGTGTGGCTTGCATCTGTTTGAGTGTGGAGGTCCTTCAACGCAATCCTGCGTCAGTAAACACGCTGCTGAGGAAGGGAATAGAATGCTTACCCTGGTGCTCACTCGCTGCCAGCTGGGCTGTCTTCCCTCGTGTGACCGCCAGCTTCACTGCAGCTCTGAGAGTTCGGTAGTCAGCGAGCAGCAGGCGGGTCTTCGTGCCGTGCCTCTCTGCTTTGAGCTCACTCGCGCTCTTGCTGCCGTTGTCGTTCTCTGCGTTCAAATGCTGCTACGATGGCGTCGTCGAGACTGATTAAGTGCTGCTGCCAATCTGACATGTCGGTCAATGTTGAATGCCAGTCGAGCGGGCTGAAGGTGACGTACCTGGGGCCTCTGCCTGCTAATTTATACATCTCATCGCAGCCCGCTATGCAATGGATTGGTCAGCCCACAGTGTGCAGTGGCTGGCAGTCGAGAGGCTGACCATCTTGACGTTGTCTGCGAGCATGGTGGTTCGAGGTGGACGCTGGTCGAGTGGATGGGTCGAGGTTCTTCGCGAGCACAGTCGTTCGAGAATCGAGATGGACGTGTAAGCGATGATCGACGGACACGGCCCGGAACGGACAGCGCTTTCTGAAGAGACTGTTGGTTATCCACGTGACCTGGATAACAAACACTTTGTTCGCTTTCTTATCTAATCTAGCGAGATAATAGCGTTGAAGGATAAGCAAAAGTTGACTCAGTCAACTTTTGAAGTTGTCCACCAGGAAAGGGATACCGTTTTAGTATTTAGATTTTCGACATAAGCGTTCTGACTTCAACGAATCTCAGGCCAGCCTATCCACGGCTGCGACGAAGCGTAAAGGTCGCGGCCGTCTCCCAGGACTCTCCCTCGTCCCAGCAGGTGCGGACTTGGCGGAGACCATCGAGCGCAACATGCCATACGTCACGAAACTCGCCATAATGTGCTTGTCTGGATTGAAAATTCGCAAGGAGTATCTTCGTACAGTCCTCTGCTTGACGCAATGTCTCGAGCGTTTGTGTCCTGGAGATGTGCGGATCGACGGTCCTGGAGTCAGCCGACCTCGTTTCGTTCTTGTCCGTCAATAAGCACGAGATTGAGGCAGGGTTTAGTCCTCCACTTCCACGCCAATTAATACATGTTCTAGCCCTG